AGTAGACTTACGATCACGTTGAGGGTACCGAGCAAAAGGAGGATCCACAATAACAGAAGGTTCTTGGGGAGCAGTAGGGATAGGGGGAGCATCTGGATCTGCAGAAGTACTAGTGTCAACCCTGCAAAGCTCAATATCAAGATTATTTGGATGATGAATCATATGATGAGGTTCAATATCTGTATCTGTGTGAAAAGGATCAATTGGGATAAGATCAGACTTCGTAAAACTATGAGAAGGAAGAATGGAGTAAAATGGTATATGCTCAAGGAATACATGTCGTGAGATAAAAAGTTTTTGAGTGACAGGATCATAACAACGATACTCTTTCTGACCGTCACCATAACGAAGAAATACACAGATTGTCGAGCGCGAAGACAATTTATTACGTTGTACATGAGAAAGAAGAACAAAACAAGTATAACCAAAAACTCTCAGTGGAATAATGAGGAGCATGACCATATAGTTTTTGAAAGGGAGACAAACCTGAAGTAACAGAAGATGGAATTCTATTAATAATATAGACTGCAGTAAGAATAGATTCCCCCCAAAATTCACTTGGAGCGAAGCCAGACAAAAGAAGGAACGAGTTGTTTCAACAATGTGACGATGTTTCCTTTCAGGAACTCCATTTTGTTCAGGAGTGTCAGTACAAGAAGTTTGAAGGAAAGCTTCATCACATGCAAGTAATTCAGAGAATTTAGTAGAGGTATATTCACCTCCCAGATCACATCGAAAACACTTAATAATAGCATCATGTTAAGTTTTGACAAATGCACGAAACATGTTATAAACACTAAAAAATTCAGGCCGATTTTTCATAAGATAAATCCAACAATATCGAGTATAGTCATCTATGAACGAGATATAATATCTAGATCCACCCTTTGTAACAACAGATGATGGACCCCATACATCCGAATGAACCTAGTTAAAAAATTCAGACCGATTTTTCATAAGATAAATCCAACAATATCGAGTATAGTCATCTATGAACGAGATATAATATCTAGATCCACCTTTTGTAACAACAGATGATGGGACCCATACATCTGAATGAACCAAGTTAAAAGGTGCAGTAGAAAGTGAAACACTTTTAGAAAAGGGTAAAGCAAAAAATTTAGTAAGTTTACAACCACAACAGTCAGAAATATCATTAGTTTTTAAATCGCCCAAAACTCCTGTAGAAACTAAATATTTTAGACGAGAAGAGGAGACATGTCCAAGGCGAGAGTGTCATAGATAAAATTTAGAAGAAGATGAACTCAAACGAAACGATGATAGGTCAACACTGGAAGCTGCAACATCTGGAACTCTTAGCTCATCCAAAATATAAAGTCCACTTTGCCTACAACCTGTCCCAATCAGCCTTCTGGATTGCAGATCCTGCACATAACAAGAAGTGAAAGAAAATAAAACTGAGAAACTAGAATCACATAATTGACCAACAGAAACAAGGTTCAAAGTAAGATTGGGGATATAGTAAACATTTGAAAGAGATAAATGTGGTGTGCAAACAGACCCAGTGTCTGCTAATGGCATAGGAGTGCCATAAGCAGTCATGACAGATACAGATGATGCAGGATGTAAGGATATAAATGATGTAAAGTCATATGACATATGGTGAGAGGCTCCAGAGTCAATAATCCAAATAGAAGAAGATATGTTTGATGAGCTAGAAGAAGGCAAACCTATATTTGAGGAGGCAGACATGACATGTGGTTGTGTGGCAAGAAACTTTTGAAACTGCTCAGTAAGCACAGCTACTGTAGGTCCCAAAGAATATGCATGTCCAACACCAAGAGAGTCTGTCGGAAGAACAACTGCTACAACATTTGATGTTGGAGTCTTGAAGCTGCGTGGGTGCAACAGATTGAGTTGTTGGGACTGTTGTAATTTGTTCAACAACTTTGGACATTGAGCTTTCCAATGACCCTTTTACTTACAAAAGTTATATTCTTTCCATGAGACTTTTCCATGAGATTTGTTTTTATTATGAGTAGCTGCAAAAACAGACGGATTAGGAGTGGGGTGGATCCCTTTCTCAGCATTCCTGGGGAGGATTCCTTTCTCAGATTGAGACTTCAGACGAATCTCTTCAGTTAATAACTCATTAACCACCGAACCAACTTTTGGAAGAGGATTGCGATGTAAAGTTGTTCCACGAAACCCTTCAAAATCATTTCGAAGAGCCATAAAAAATTGAACCAAACGCTGTTCTTCTCTACGATCAGTGTATGGTTTGAAAGCTCTTAATTCTGCAAACTCAATAAGAGATAATTGATCTCAAAGATTAGTCATGGCAGAATAAAATTCTTGAATGCTTGTGTTGTTTTGTTGAAGAGCACGAATATCTATCTCTAATTGATACTGTTTTGCAAAATTTGACTGCATATATAATCTTTCCAAATGATTTCAAACTTCTTTGGCGGTTTCATATTTTGCTAATTGAACACCGATTGATTGTGAAACCGAGTTATTGATCCAAGTGATTATTTTTTAATTATTTGTTTCCCATAATTCCAACATTTCTTCATATTTTCCATCATTTTCATTTATGAGCTTAACAAAGGTTCCAGAAACATAACCCTACATTCTTTTGCCTTTCAAAAAATTCTTCAATACATAACTTCAATAGGAGTAATTTTGTCTATTTAATTGAACACTAATAGACTGAAGAGAATCATCTTTTTCACCGGTCATTGCAACGATTCAAAAAAGAAAATAAAGAACAGTAAGATCACTACCAATGACGATAGATCACCCAAAAAACTGCAACTACATGAAATGAAACCTTCAAAATCTCTAATCTGGTCCTCACAACCCTGAAGCCTGCGATCCTCTATTGCGCCTCTCCACCGCAGTCACCGGAAATAGATAGAAATCGTCCCTATCATGTGGTATTCGGATCGCCGAAATCGCGAACGGGATCGCGACTTTCAACTGGAGTTTTTGGGTCGCGAGAGTGAGAGGGGAAACAGAAGTTCCGAAGGGCTTAGTACCTCACAATCCCGTCGATGCTGGATCATAACCGCTCTGATACCATGTTAACAATTGCAACTGGTATTGAAAAGGAGAAGAGAAAGAGAGAGACAAACAAAAGTGGCTAGGGTTTCAAATCTACCCAATTATCTCATTACAAGAGTATATGTATGTACAATAAGTGAAAAGACTAAACTACCCTTAATTGGTAAAACAATAGAAATACAAAACTATAATATCTAACACAAGCAAGATTTTTGGTTAAAGCTCGTTGAGAACTTGAAGCCGTCAATCTCCCATCATCTTCTGTAAAGAATTTAAGAATGTTTATAGCAGATGAAGGCATTTTAATCACAGTTGGTTCTGCAAACAAGATTTTTGCTTCTTGAACTGATGATGGAAAAGGACTAGGTGGTGGAGATGATTACTAAGAACACAATCTTCAGTTAGAAGAAGCGAGAAATCACTATGTTTTATATTAGTTGATGTGCAGAAATTTACATGCGACAAATTGGATTAAGATTGTGAGAACGCATTTTATGGTGCTGTTTAAAGAATAAAAAAAGTAATGATAGTGATATGAGGATGCCTATTTGTTTAGGGGATTTCACAAGAAAAATATAAAAGAATGTTCCAATGCGGTATGGCCAAAAAGTCTCATCTCAATTCATGTAAAATTCCTATTAAATTTTTTGTTATCAATTTAAAATTTTTAAAATTAGAACCAAAAGATCTTGATCTTTCAATCTTCCAATGATGTTCCTTAAGTTTAATTACACTTGATGATACTTTCAAGGGATGCTCATAATAAAAGGATGTGCTTTTCTTCTGGTTTGAATGAGTGGATGGTAAGGAATGGACTAAGCTTCAAAAAGTATCATTTTACTAGGACAGTTACACCATCAAACATAGGACTATGGTCCAAATCCAAGGATTTGGTGCTCAACTACAATCATTATCATGGTAATTAAATCACTGAGAAAAATAATATAATGATGAAACTACCAATTGAGTTCATTGATTGCAATTAGGATTAAGCCAATGTTAGGTCGATGGTCTAACCTTTAGGCATGGCACTTGTCAAACCCCAACAAGATAGAATTTGAGATCATGATTTGAAAGATATAGGTTGGTCCATGAATTTTTATGTTGTTGTAGATGAAAAGATGTTGGCCATTTACTTGATATAATGTTAACAAGAGGAGAATAATCATTTTCTAGTTATTTACATGGTTAAAGCCTGTTCTACTTCGTAAATCTTAATTTAGTAATCCTTCTGAATGGGACAAAACGCTAAATTTCATAATAGAATCTGTGCTTTGCTGACTTCTGCTTTAGATGCGACAATGACCTCTTTGTTTTGGAAATCTACGTTGTGTGGAACTTGCTTTTAAGAAAATCATAGGTTTTTATTTCTTCTGTGGATGGACTCACATCTTTTGCTAAAGCAACAATCCAGAGTCAGCTCTCTTTTATTTTTATTTATTTGTTGATCTTAGTAAATACTAATTTGATTTATAGTAATTTGCTTATTTTACTTATTTTCTTTGTCCGCATACTTAGTTCCAAAAAAAAAACACACAAATTCATAATTATTAACTCATATATATATATATATATATATATATATATTATCACTGATTTGAATCACTTACTTCTCAACTTCTATCCCCATAGACATTTTTTATTGTGGTGCTTTTCCATGTTATACTCCATATTTTATTGTTTTGGTATTCCCTTATTATTCATACATGCCCCTCAATTCGTATGTATTTAGATATCTGATACTTAAGTTCTACTTGTTACATTTATATCGCCCAAATCTTTCATATCACATGATAAAAATGCCACCATTTTAACTTTTAAAATGTGAAACACATCTTTTCATGCATAAGTAGGGTGGTATATATGTAAAAATTGAATTTTAGGTGTTAGATATGTAAATTCATAGGAATTGAGTGGTATGTATGTAAATTTTCCTAAATTCAGTATTGATCACTGCATTAGTTTATATGCAGACCTGTCTGTGCCAAACTTGGCATGATTGAATTGCCCCCGAAAGCGGCTAAATTTCCAGGCCATTTGAAAGTTGAAAAAGGGCGGCTCCAACCAACACGAATAGAACATGTAATGTGGCTTCCTTATGCTACCACTTCTTATAGTTTTAATTGGGTTCTCATTTATTTTACTGAAACAAAACTTCTATCAGAATATCCTGATGCAAATTAATATTCTTATTTAACGCTGCATTGTTATTGGTGTTTTCGCTCCCCCAACAGAAACAAGCTGTGGCAACTTCTCACTGTTCTCAACCCAACACGATCGAATACGAGTTAGCTTTGGACTGGTTGTTTCTGTTCGAGAAGTATCAGCGGTCTAAAGTGAAACTATTCAAGGTCAAATACCTGACATTTTAGATGTTTCTTTTGCTTTAAACCTCTGAAAATCAATGAAAATCTACCGCACAATTCTTATTTGCTTGCATATCTAACATTCAAAGCTTGATATTTACATATTTAACACTCCAGTGACATAATTTTTTCCTTTAAAAAAAGTTGGAGTTTGATTGTTATGTTATGTAAATATTAAAGCTTAGATGTTGGATATGTAAATAAATAAGAATTGTGTGGCGGGTAAATCCGCCAAAAATTTAACATATTAAAAAAATAATAATAACAAAATAGCATCTTTACAGAAGCAGGGTACACAATTGCGAGCCTTCCTGAACAAGTACACTGGTAAATAGAGCCAGTTGTGATTGACCTCACCTTCCTTTTCTTAGGCATCCATTTTTCCTCATAAAGGTTCGTCTATCATCTTCTTCATCTTCTTCTTCTCCCTCTTTTTAACATTTTGACTTACAGATTAGCTTTCTTGAGGAGAACAATGGAGTCTCAGACCAGTAATAAATACAAGATGAGATTTTGAGAGGATTCAGCAGCGAAGGGCCATGAAAATGGCGTGCAGAAGCATGGAAAAGGAGGTTCAGAGCACTGTTGATTCGTCTTGTATGTCGCTGTCTGTGTCGATCTCTTTTGATGCACCCATTATTGAAGCTGTGTGATGTATGCAAATATATTTGTGTAGCTCATTTTTATTTTGGATGTTTGCAGTAACTGAAATTTTAGTGAGTTGTAACTCAGTTTATTGATAATTTAGTTAGATTTTAAGTAATTTAATTAGAGGATAGAGTTTGGAAGTTTGATTTGATAGGACTTTTTGCTGTGTTGGCTGCCTGTACATGGGAATTTGGCAACATATTTTTATCATCAATGCCGTATAAATTAGCTGGTAGCTATTGCAGGTGAACTCTATAAGCCTTCGTGTGGATTTCTGCTTTTAGAAACTCCCTTTTTTTTAATTCAGATTTTTTATCATTCTTTTTGGTTGTTATATATATATAATGTGTGTATGTGTGTGTGTTGTGTACCCCATCCTGTTGGTTGGTATCCATAATATATGACCCATCAAGTTGGGTGTTCGAATCCCCTCTGACACAATTGGTCTTAAGGAGTTGTTACTCGAATTGTTAGACACATTAGGGTGGTTAGAGGCTCGTATAATAGCATTTGGCTATTTCTTTTCAATATATATATATATATAGAGAGAGAGAGAGAGAGAGAGAGAGAGAGAGAGAGAGAGAGAGAGAGAGAGAGAGAGAGAGAGAGATCCCACAAATCTTATGTATTAGACGTCTAACATCTAAAACTTTATGATTATATTTATAATATTCTTGTGGTTATGGATGGCATGTCTTCTGTAGATTTAAAGAAAATATATATTTTTTTAAATTCGCTTTTTATATTTTTAATTAATTTTTAAGCAAACAATATCAGCTTATTGTTAATTTTGCTAGCATAAAATTAAATATTTTTTTTTGTGATCATTTTAATCCCAGAATTTATAAAATTGTCAAAATAATTTCTAAATTTTTAAAATTAGGGCTGAAATAATTCTCATGAAAGATTATTATAATTCAATTTTAAATTAGTTGGGATTATTTTTGGCACTTTCATAAATTTTGGGATTACATACATCTCACCTAATTCTCACGCATTTATATATGGAACACCTAAATTTTATTTTTTTACATTTATAACTTCTTAAATTTTTCATGTCACATTAAGAATATCATTATTTTAATTTTTAAAATATAAAAATGCACCTTTATATATATATATATATATATATATATATATA